TCAACCTTAATTCCCTCACTTACTGATATAATAAAACCCAAGTACTTTGTTTCCTTTACTGCAAATTCACTCTTCTGGGGATCTAATTGCAGACCGGCAAGTCCTAAACGTTCAAGAACCATGTTTACCTTAGCCCAATGGTCATTTAAATCTCCAGATGTATAGATTAAAACGTCGTCTAGGTAGGCCGAACAAAAATCTCCCAAATATTCACCCAAGACACTGTTTATGTATCTTTGAAATGAGCTTGGAGCTCCTGTTAGCCCAAAGGGTGTAACCAGCCATTCAAAGGATCCGAATCTAGTTCGAAAAACAGTTTTAGTTTCATCACCCTCCCGGACTCTCAACTTGTGGAAAGCAGCGCGAACGTCTACTTTTGATACCCATGTAGATTTTGCAACCTCTCTAAGCGTTTCTTTTATAAGTGGTAGTGGGTATCTATCCTTAATAGTTATTGCGTTCAGTGCTCGATAGTCTACACAAAAACGAAGACCACCCCCAGGTTTTTTTGCAAACAATACTGGAGCACCACCAGGTGAGGAGCTAGCTCGAATCCAATTTTTGTCTAGATGGTCTGTCAATGTCTTCCTTAGCACCAAAAGTTCTTCTCGCGACATATCGTAAAGGGGGCCGAAAGGGATTTCCTTTTCCCTGCCATTTTCATCTTTCATTAGGTTAATTTTGGTGTCTGCACCTGGACGGTTGGGCGGTAAACTATGATTTGTATCTTCTGTGAAGAAACGAGCATTTTTATAAATTTCTGGTGGCAATTTTGCTCTAATTTCTTCGAAAGTCTGACTACTTTTCACTTCTAAGGCCTTCTTGATGTCTTCCATTGAGGCTGCAAATAATTTAGTCTCGGTATCCTTTGTCTCGCGGATACGTGCCGCTATGGCTGCGAGCTGGGTCCCAAGGATCTGGCGAGCGCTTCCTGCTTTTATTTTTAGACATTTTAATTTTGTCCTTGATGCACTTGACAATCGCTCGTCCCATCCTTTGGCTCTTACAACGAGCCCCCCAGGCGGCCCAAAACGTATGGAGTGTTGACGGGCATTATACAATATGCTATTTGCTCTCATCCATGGGTCGCCAAGTATGACTTCATATGATAAATTTTCAATTATGTACCCCCATACTTTCTCATTTCTGCCATCAATATCCATATCTACGCATGTAATTTCGTTTATAGCTCGCTGCTGAACGTCACTTTTGGCAAGTTTTAATTCTCTACTTTTGATTGAAATTCGCGGTAAATTGTGTCGTTTTACAAATGAGTTGTTAAAAGCGGAATAGCACAGACATCCTGAATCCATGAAAGCATTCACGTAAAAGCTTTTATTGATTAATACTTCTAAGATGAACGGGGAGCCGTCCAGTCTTTTAACAACATTTTTTATATTACAATCCACAATCTTAGATAACCCCTGAGCCCGACTTTGCCCAGAGTTTATTCTTTTCCCGATTCTATGTCACCCTCACCATCGAATTCTTCCTTTCTTATTTTAAAATTTTTTTGTGTTGGAGGATGTGGCATTAATAGTAGCAGGTCGCTTTGCCCAGGTAAAGTGAGGACATTTTTTAAAAAAATGTCCTCTCTCTCCACAGCGGGTGCATTTCCCAGCAGTCCGAAGTGCATTGAAGTCGTCACTAGACCGCCATGGAGCAGGAGGCTTGCTTCCATCTATTCTTCCTTTTCCTTTATCTATCCTTACCGCGTTGACAATTGCAGATAAAGTCGCCATACTGATACCATTTATACCTGACATAGTCGTATCTCCGTCTGCATCTAAAAATGGTCTGTTATCTCTCTGGGACGCGCCAGCGACTGCCTTTCCTTCAGATGATGATTTATAGATAACCTCCGAATGACCATTGAAATTTGTTTTGGTATATTTGACACCATCCTTGAAGTTGTGGCTCTCGTTTGCCTCAATTCGACTCGCAGTTTGCTGTACTTGTTTTACAAACAAGGCATAATTGTCCTCCGCAACGTCTTTGGAATAAAGAGCTTTCGTCAGCCTTTTGTTCAATCCCATGTAGAGGAAGTTGATCTTTACTTTTCCTTCCCAGCTCAATCCTCTTGCTTGGGCTAGAGTGTATTCGAAGTCATTGAGAAAATTTGCGAATAGTTGATTGTCGCCTTGCTTCATCTTCGACAGGGTTGATCCAGCTGTGCGAGCTGATGTTTTATCCTCGAATGAATCATTAAAGTGCTGGATAAAAACTTCGTAGTCCCAATCCAAATTAGGTCCTCCACATGAAAACCAGTGAGAAACTCGAAGCTTGCGATCTGTAGGGAGCGTATTCATCATTTCATTACAAACAGCCTTATGCCCCCCCAACATTTCCCAGTCACTCTCGATTTTGGCTGTCAGCTGTCAATGTATACACAATAAGTTTCCGTGGCCCCATTCCATTCGGGCCACCTTGACAACTGCTTCTTTGCTTCTTGAGGTGGGGGTCTCGGAATATGCGGCCTTGGTGTATCCTGAACAGTTATGAGACTTAGGATATGATTTAATTGCTCTTGCGTGACTGTGAGGGGTGTTGTTGTCTGCTGTGCATCATCTACAGCATCATTTTTCGGCATGATGCTTTTTAGGTGAGCGTTGGAAGTTGATAAAGATTGATCAATTCGTGACTCTGATGATATTTCGGATGATTGCGATGATTCCGAGGAGGAATAGAAATTAAATTTTCCCGGGAACATGTAAACTTATAAAAACCAGGAGAGGTATGAAGACATTCGCTGGTAGTGTAAAAAAGAGAGATAAAATATATGTGAAGGGACTTCACATTTGTTGTTCACAATTATGGGTCCAAAAAATGAATTTATATTTTATCTAAGGAGGAGAACATTTACAACGCGCGCGCAAGATGTTTTGTTCCAATCGAGCGCGTTTTCCCGTGACACTAGCGCGCTTTTGTTCATAGACGGAGCCGGATAGTTCCGGATCCACATACAAGGCTACAGCCTGTAACAGCACTTTACACCTGATGTCTGACGCTGGATGCTTGACGTCTGTGGTTGCTGGACGGCGATCGGTAGTTTCTAAAAATAATCTTTTCTTGAATCATCATTTGTTAATTATGAATGTCCGTTACTCGATGGCTCGAATTCGTGGTGACAAGGCAGTGCAAGATTGATAAACACTTCATGTTAGAGAAGTCTTTTTTGTAGATAAGCGCTCACAATAATTACAATACTGGTCGTCCACGAGAGTCATATTGATTCACTGGATTAGAGAGCTGACATAGGCGACGGGCACGAAAACTTAGCAACTGTCAGTGGTGTCCCCTAGAAGGTCCCCAGCTCTTACTATAGAGTCTGTAGAGCTGAAATTTGGTAACAAAGCCCTCATTTCGATGGGGATTCCCAAACATATCGCGGTCTGCATCGTATTCATCTCTCAACACACTCCCTACCACCATTATCATGAAGCTAGCCAGGATCAGATCAGATGGCAGGGTCGAAGCTCTACTTATCTCATACCCTTGATCATAGAGGGAAAGCCATCCGATGCGTTTCTGGAGGGTACCCAGCACCCGATACGGAGATGGCGGATTGGATCTAGTCGGCCGCGACGCGTACAAAGAAGGGAGATATAGATGAAAATGCGTACTTCCTATGGTCCCAATGTCAAGGCCTTGCCTGGCTGGGCCCGAAGGTTTTTTGAGACTTTTTCCCGCGCACGCAATTTTCATTGCTACCATTTTTATATTTTTTTTGGGTAGAAGATTTCGTGGAATAGGTGGCCGAATTCCACGGGTAAATACTAAGCTGAATGGTTATTCATCACGGGGAATATATCAATAACCTCTCAAAGAACATAAGAGGCAAGGAGAACTGTACAAGCTGTGGCCTAGGCCTGAGAGAAGATCAATAGGCTGGATAGTCTAAGGCTCGAGTATTATAGTTAAGACGTCCCTCTCACCAAAAGTGTTGATCAGTGACATGTAGCAGCATTTTCTACGGGACATTTTACCCATCTTACAAAAAATCGGTAGCAATGGAAACTGCGTGCGCGGGAAAAAGTCTCAAAAAACCTTCGGGCCCAGCCAGGCAAGGCCTTGACATTGGGACCATAGGAAGTACGCATTTTCATCTATATCTCCCTTCTTTGTACGCGTCGCGGCCGACTAGATCCAATCCGCCATCTCCGTATCGGGTGCTGGGTACCCTCCAGAAACGCATCGGATGGCTTTCCCTCTATGATCAAGGGTTTGAGATAAGTAGAGCTTCGACCCTGCCATCTGATCTAATCCTGGCTAGCTTGTCAGACCAGTATCAGATCCGGTGGAATTCGTATTCCTGAATCAATGTTTTGTGATTCATGTAAATTCCATTCTTCTAACATGATCGTAACATTATTGTCAGAATAATATGCCAAGCTGGTACCTGACATAATTTGTGATTGCCTCAGGAAAACCTTGGCGTTTTGGGTAATTTTCAGCTAGAAAATGCTTGGCGTCCGTGTAACAGACGTGGTGGACTGGTATTGAGTCGGTTTAGGATTACATCTTGGCTACAACATGTTTGGATTGTATCCTGTGATGTAAGGAAGCTATTTCTAGATATTATCATCATATGTCAGGTAGTAGATATGTGTAGATATATAAGCTGAGAGAAAGAGGAAGGAAGACAGACAGACAGACAATTATATCTTTTTATTTTACTTCAATTGAAAGCTCCTGTGCGAGCTATTCTTCCAGATACCTCTAGTCTCAATCATTACAGCTTCCGAACCAGCTCAAAAGGTTCGACAGTTATGAGCCCGGTTAAACTCTTCTGCGCAGAGAAAAGTGGTATCGGTCTATCAATCTTGCTAAGTTAATTGTCCTGTTGCGACAGTTTTACTTATTATTTTTACATTTTCATCATATTTTTCATATTGTTTCAAGTCAATTATTACGGTTTTTTATCAACCATTTTTTACTATTAAATTTACAGTTCAGATCCTTCAACAAAAATGGCTGAATTAAGCGGCTCTTCCAAAATCATGCTGAATGGTCCGTCTAATTGGGATCAATGGATATCAACGATTCAGAAATTTGCTCTAACACAAAGTATTTGGGCTCAAATTGACCCTTCCAGCATATCACGAGTACCATGTCTCAAATATCCGGAGGAACCATTGATAACGGTAGTTAAACCAACTGCAAGATTAATTACAGATCTTGCCATTGATGAACTAAGGATATATGAGTTCCTTTACAATCGCTATCGTACGGAACTTCAGGCCTACAAGGATCAACAAAGGTCACTTGCATTTATCCAAGAATTCATAATAAAAACGGTTGGTAATTACTACTCCACTATTTCCGATGAACATGATGTTGCAAGTGAGTTGGTACTTTTGAAACGTCGACTCCAACCCTCAGGGTGGGTACAACAGAAGGAGATTTTAAGCAAGTACCAATTTATTCTTAATTCCCCTGATAGAACGGATATTACTGCATGGGTTACAAATTGGCAGAAAGTTTTCACTGATGCTAAAAGGATTGGTCTTCCAGAAGCACAGGGTCTTCGACCGACCCAATCATTTCTCGAGTCAATTTGTCGTATTGACAATTCATTTTCAGATTATTGGACTAACAAGTTAGAAGATGAAGCCAGAAGTAATTTACAAGGGTGGGAAGAAAGATTCCCGGATGGTATAGAGATATCAGAGATATTTGAGCGTACACAGGCCACCAAAGCTGCAAATACCTCACTAAATCAGGCATCTTTCGCTGTGTATAAAGGTCAAAATTCGACGTTAAATACTCAGCCTGAATCATTTACCTCATCAAATGATCCATGTACTTCTGGTCCTTCTTCGAAAAAGCCTGCTTGTCCGTGTGGGTGGAAACATTACTTTTCAGAGTGTTATTACATTAATAAGGCATTAAGACCAAACAATTTTAAGCCTTCATTAGAAAGACAACAAAAAGTTGATGATTTTCTCAAAGTCCCTTCAAATAACGCTAAAGTCAATGCAGCATTAAAAAAGGCAAATAACTTTCGACAGAAACAAAATTCCGAGTCATATGAAAGCTCAGGTCAAAATTTACCCAGTATTCAAGCAGTAGCCGCAGCATCAACAGCTTCTACTTTCTCTCAACCTTCTCTCAACTGCTCCAATTATCCTTTAAAAAATTCGTTCATTCTTGATTCAGGCTCTGACGGGCATATCTGCAATGAATTTTCTCGATTCTCAAATTACTTTTCTAAGCCATCTACAGCTGTAGCAGGGAGTGGGCAATTTGACATTCTCGGATATGGAACAGTTTTTATGAAGATTTCAACAGGACTTTTCCAACTAAACAATGTGGCGTATATACCATCTTTTCATACGTCTCTTGCATCACTCACTAGGTTACAATCTGCAGGAATTTCGTGGAATCCACAGACAGGATGCATTTTTAATTCTGAAAAAACAATTTGCTTTACGAAAAAATTGTACAACCAATACGTTATCGAGTATAACAAATTTGAACCAGTAATTACTGAATCTTCATTTTCCACAAAGGGTTCAGATATAAAATCTGTAACACCAACAGATATTACAATCTGGCATGAACGACTTGGACATCCTTCTAGTCAAGTACTCGAAAAAGTTCTAAAAAATAATTCTATATTACCATCTGAAATTAAAAAAGAACTAGAGAACTGTGAGCCTTGCAAGCTTGCGAAAGCAAAAAGGGTAGTAAGTCGCACTCCACCTCTATCAAGAGCTAGGAGGCCTTTTTATAGAATCTTTGTTGACTTATTTTCCCTACCAACAAGTTATAACGGGAAAAAGGTAGCGTTCTTGGTCAAGGATGATTATACTAAACTAATTTTATTTTACGCACTATCAAATTCATCTGCTCAAGAACTTGTAGGTTGTATTGGTAATGTTCAGAGATTTGTGAAAACTCAGTTTTCACTAGATATATGCGTTGTGCATCGGGATAATGATGTTTCTTTGCAACAAGAATATCAAAATTTTATCTCAGATCATGGAATCTTAGACGAACCTACTGCGCCTTATACACCTGCTCAAAACGGCTCAGCTGAGCGTTCTGGGGGGGTAATTTCTAGCAAAGCGCGCACGATGCGTATTTCTTCAAATTTACCACAATTTCTCTGGCCCGAGATTTGGAAAACTGCTGTGTTTATTTATAATCGCCTTCCTCACCGCGACTCAAGATTGATGTCAGCTTCTACAGTACTATCTTCAGCCCAAATTGAAATCGATAAAAAGAGCTGGATATCTCCAACAGAAAAAATGGTTATATTGCTTCAGAAAAACCAACAACGTGCCCCATCTATATCGACAGACTTGTCAGTTCACCACACATATGGATAAACCTGTGGGATAATCAGACGTCTAGCAAGATCATTTTCAGCAAATTAAATTTGTTTATTTATTTTTATTTAAAAGAAGTCAAAAGGGCTCAACGTTATTTTCTATTAAAAAAAAAAATTTAAATTTCCATAACTGTTGGATCATAGGTGTCAATGCCCTCTGGTGTGAGTCCGTACTGGGTGGAGCTAGCCCATATGGGACTAGCTCCCACACACCACGATATGTGTTCTCCCCGCAGAGAACACCAAGTAGAAGTAGAACCACAAGAATGAATGCAATACGTTTCCTGTTATCTCTTTAAGCACTAGTGCACCAGACCCTCCCAACACTGATCAGTGGTTGATTTGGTCAACCACAGACAGCAAGGAAGAAGAGACAGATCCCATCTTCGAAGACCTCCCTGGCGCTTGAAGCCATACTCTCGAGAGAAGATTCTGTGCAAAGCAATAAGCCGTCGAGCTTTCTTTTTCGCAAACCTCCGGCGCGTCCTCCAACGCAAACAACAGTACGAACTTTTGCAAAGACCTCCCTGGCGCCTGACGCTATACTCTCTGGCAGAAGACCAATTCCGCACTACAATACCACCGAAAATCACGTTAGAAGCTGTGCCAATTGAGCAGCTGATTCCACGCAAAATAACCAAAACACAACGTGCTGACCTCGCTTCCGCCCGATATGCCATCTTCAAGCAACAGGGCTAGCGACACAGGCGATTCAAGCACAAGCCCCCGAAAAATGGAGTACACGCGCGAAGAACTCATGGAAGGGATCCGCGTCAACAAGAGTGAATGGAATGTCATCGAGCCCGACCTGTGGCACTCCCCAATCTCCCCGACCTCAAATGCGACACATCTCACGACCTTCGTCGCCAGAGCTATTCAGAACTACGACTTTGAACAACTGTACGATGATGACGTGTTCTACGCCTTCCGTGAGGAATTTGAGACTTGGAACAAAGATATGTTCGACACGGTGTACATGCCCTTCCGGCGCGAACTGAAGATCTTCCTCCGATTTCACGGAGTCTACACAGGCAGAAACAATGGCAGGATAGGGCAACAGCTTGCCCATATGATACAACTAGAGGAAGCCCCCGAGTGGAATGAAGACGAGCTCCGCACTGCGAAGTTTGACACTCAGTCCCGTGCTTTCGAAAAACAACAAGCACTGCTACGCTCAAGCCCGAAGATGTCGGAGAAGAAAAGAGAGCCAAACGAACAGGACCCCCAGTCCGACAAGCCCATACTCCCAGTTAAGCAACAACCTCCTCCCTCTCCTCATGTACAACCAGAAAACAAGCAAGACAATGTCCACCAACCGATGAATTGGCCGATTGGATCGTCAGAACCACAGCTCCCACCGAGAGAAGGTACGACACTGCCGAGCCAGACAACGCCGTTCCCGCCGCCGCCGCCGCAACAATCATGGTCACGAGCACCATACGCTCCCTACCCGGTGCAGATGCAGTACATGCCCCAACCGAATCTCCCTTCGTACGATCCGTACAGTACACTTCCTCCACGCCCAGTTCCCAACGCGCGCCTCGATCCTAGCATTTCTTCACAATTTGTCAAGACATTCGATCGGAAGAAGAAGTACACCGGCGAGCCATATGATTTACTAGAAGATAAACTCCGCATGTTCTTTAACATCTGCTACCATGCCGAGATTCGCCCAGAGCAGTTCCACGCCGTTTTTCCTCGCATCCTCACTGGACGAGCGGAAGCCTACTACCTTCACTACATCAATCGGGACGACACCTTCGCCGCGGCGTATGAAAAAATAAAAACACACTTTGACACCGAGGTCAATCACCACTACTACTACACCGATTGGACCAGTACTACATTCAATAAAATGCGTCAAGAGTCGACCGAAAAGAACATGCACAAAGTCCTACAGACCCTGCTGGACAAGCTCCAACTGTGCCAACGCGCACTTGGTCCAGACTACGCCGGTGAAGCCAACCTCCGCACTGCTGTGATCAAAGCATGCCGAGGAGTACCCGAACTTGAACACGCGTTATTCAAGCCAGCCAAACTGTGTGAGGAACTGTTCTCAGACATGCGTTCATCAATTGAGACGCATATGAGCCGTGTCTCCACTCAACAGATGATGATGGATGATGCCGAAGACGGCCAGTATTACCTCGACCGCCGCTACAATAACAGCAGAAGGGGCCGAGGCAACTTTCGAGGAGGAAGCCGTCGTGACGACCCCCGCGAACAAAGTCGAGGAGGCCGCCGTGACGTTCGACCCCGTGACTGGAAGAAGAAGTGCTTCGTATGCCACAAAGAAGGATGCTGGTCAACTAAGCACACTGACGAAGAACGCCGCAAGTCCCGCAACGCGTACGTCGCCCACTGCAATTTCACTGGTACCACTATAGACGACTTCGCAACCTATCTGACCGACTACGAAGGTCATGAGATGAATCAGCAGTTGCCCCAGGACGAAAAGTCTGATGATGATGAAGAGTACGATGAATCTGATACTTTCTTAGTCGAGACTTGTCAATACCTCACTAACCAGGCTTTCTTGCACCAGCTCACCGGCGAAGATGTCTTTCGCACGAACAACTCAGACGTCCCCGCCACTCAATTCATGATTCAAGACCGGTACTCGAAGATGAGATTCCAAGGTATTCTTCCTGATACAGGCGCTGCACGAGTCTCCACTGCTGGCAAAGAGCAGTATCTCGCGCTTCAGCGTGAGGATCCATCAGTCCAAATGGATGAATCAACTGCTGGTCAGGCATCAATCCGGTTCGGAAAAGGCTCAACGACGACCTCAATTGGTACTGTCACAATTGAGACACCAATTGGAACAACGAAGTTCCACGTGCTCGACACGCCTACACCCTTCCTGTTGTGCCTTGCCGATATGGACCGCCTTGGAGTTTATTTCAACAACACTACGGACGAACTCATTCGAGGCAAGAAGACCATCCCGGTGATCCGCAAATGGGGCCACCCGTGGTTCTTCTTAAGCAAAACGGAGAACGCAGGTGTCTTTCTTTCCGAAATCGAACTACGGCGCCTGCACCGCCGCTTCGGGCACCCAGCGACCAACCGCCTATACCAACTTTTGGAAAAGGCTGGTCACGACGATGTCGATAAAGGGACTTTAGAGATGATTGCCAAGTCCTGTCATCACTGTCAAATGCACAGCACGGCACCGAGACGATTCAAATTCACCCTTAAGGACGACCATGAATTCAATTACGAGATCCTGGTAGACGTGATGTACCTCAACAACCGCCCCGTTCTCCATGTTGTCGACTCAGCTACAGCCTTCCAAGGCGCCCGATTCTTACCATCGATGTCTGCCAAAGATACCTGGGAAGTACTACGCTCGCTCTGGATCGACACCTACCAAGGCCCGCCCGATATCATCACCCACGATGCCGGCACAAACTTTGCCTCTACGGAATTCCACAACGAGGCCAAGGTCTTAGGCATCTCATGCAAACAGGCGCCAGTCGAGGCCCACTGGTCAATCGGCAAGCTCGAGAGATATCACTCACCACTACGCCGCGCGTTTGAGATTCTGTCTACTGAACTCGGAAGCAGCACAACAGTCGAAGCAATCCTACAAATGGCCGTGAAAGCAGTAAACGACACGGCTGGACCTGATGGGTTAGTCCCTACCCTTCTCGTGTTCGGGGCATACCCCCGCATGACATTGGACTCTCCGCCCTCGCCATCGACTCTAAAGCGTTCTGACGCAATCCAAAAGGCGATGAAGGTCCTTCGCAAGGTCGCAGCTGAGCGACAGGTGAACGATGCACTCAACACGCGCAACGGCCCGTCTACCACCGACGTCCTCGCGCTCCCGCTGCAGAGCGAGGTTCGGGTCTGGCGTGAGAAGGATGGCTGGCAGGGACCCTACAAGATTGCTGCTACCGATGGCCACAACGTGACGCTGGATATGGTAAATGGACCTGCAACCTTCAGATCTACTCTACTCCAACCGTACTACCGAGGCGCCGCTACCGACCCTATTCCGAGCTCCTCGAACCATGACCAAGATGGTGAGACCGAGCAGCCCCAAGGACAGCATGATCCACAGCCTGAACCACCCCGACCACGCAAACGAGGTCGCCCTCCCGGCTCCAAGAACAAACCGAAGAGGACCAATGATGCCTTCCTAAGCACAAAAGAGAAAAACGACCGCGATCTCGCTGTCAAGCTGCGGAACGATGGTGTCATCACAACTCCCGGTGCTCCATTCGAAGAGTCGAACACAAAGGAGATAGATGACCTTATTGGCCGCGGTGTGTTCAGCTTTGAGCTGTATGACCCAGTTCATCACGGCAAGCACCGCATATTTAAGTCACGAATGGTGCGCGAAATCAAAGGCAAGACCGAAAAGCCCTATGAGAAATCCAGATTGGTCATCCAAGGCTACAAGGACAAGGCAAAGGAGACAATTCTGACACAATCGCCAACGATCCAGCGCGCAAGCCAACGCCTCCTTCTGGCCCTCGCACCGTCGCTGATGAAAATGGGCATGACACTGACTCTCCGCGATATCACGCAAGCGTACCCTCAGGCCCAGACCGACCTGTTCCGCGTTGTATTGGCCGACCTGCCTGCTGAGTTGAAACAGAAGTACCCTGAGAACACGATCATCCGCGTCATTAAGCCACTTTACGGCATCGCTGAAGCTGGCGTCCATTGGTTTGCGACGTATCAAGGCCACCACACGTCCGAACTGGACATGTCAACGTCAACATTTGACCCATGTCTGATGATCACCAACCACGGCCCAACGACATTTGGAATGATCGGAATGCAGACTGACGACACTCTGATCTTGGCCACACCCGCCTTCTCGACAACTGAAGAAGAAAAGATCCAGAAGGCGCAGTTTCGATCCAAGCCCAAGACGCTCCTGTCTCCAGAAACACCACTGGACTTCAACGGAGCGAAACTGACGCTGGAAGATGAGATCGTAGTACTCAAGCAGAAAGGCCAAGGGACCAAGATTGATCTTAT